GGGGGTGCAGCCCTTGGGGTTGGTCCGTAGAAGTCGGGGCCCCCCGGCGGTTTTGGGGTTTGGGGGCCAGCCCGAGGTGTTCCCTTTGAGGCGCTCCAAGGGTGGGGGTGCAGCCTCGGGGGTGTCGTTGGGTTTGGGGGTTCATTCCCCCGTGGTAGCGGGTTTTGTGGGTTCCCAAATCGGTCACCACAGGAGAGGGTCCTCAGGAGGCTTGAGGGGTTTGGTACCCCCAGAAAACGGGGGGGTGTTGAGGTGCCCCTGAGGAGCCCTGGGTTGGGGGTGACTGGGGAACCCCATTTTTGTGGTGACATTGAAGACTCTTTTTTGGGGTGACCCCGCGGCCCCCTGGTTTTAGGGGGACCCCTGCAATCCCGTTTTTGGAACGGCCCCAAGGACCCCCGTGTTTGGGGGTGCCCCAAACCCCCGCTTTTGGCGTGTCCCCAAGACACCCCCATTTTTGAGCAGCCCCTGAAACCCCGTTTTTAGAGTGACCACGACAACCCCCTTTTCTTGGGGGTGACCCTGACCCCCGATTTTGGGGGTGCCCCGTTTTTGGGGTGCCCTGGGGCCATGGCGTGGGCGCTGAAGCTGCCGCTGGCGGATGAGGTGATCGAGTCGGGGCTGGTGCAGGATTTCGACGCCAGCCTGTCGGGGATCGGGCAGGAACTCGGCGCTGGCGCCTACAGCATGAGGTACCTGGGACCCCAAAACTGACAGGGCGCCCCAAAACTTCCAACCCGGGGAACGCAGGGACCGTGTGGGGAGTGGGGGGCCACAAAATGAGCTGGAGGTTGAAGGCGTTGGGCAGCATCTGAGCACTGGTACCTGCAGAAAGAGAGGACCCCAAAATCTCCATAAGTCCCCAAGGGAAACCCCAAAATCTCCATGGGCCCCCAAAATCTCTGGTGGTCCCCAGAATCCTGGAGGTTCCCCAGGATCTCCATGAGGGATCTCAAAAATCTCCAAGGGTCCCCAGAATCTCTGGTGGGATTCCAAAACCTTGTGAGGTCCCCAGAATCTCCGGGGGACCCCAAAATCTCTGGGGGTCCCCCAAATGGCAGGGGATGGCAGGGGCGTGGGGAACCCCAAAATGTGCTGAGGTTGGGGCACCAAGGGGGGCGTGGGGGCAGACTGGGGGGAAATGGGAGCAATGGGGATGGAGCTGGGATGGATTTGGGATGCAGT